AGTGTATCACTGATGAATAACTTAAAAAGATCCTTGTTGATGCATCTGCTTACTCCTCTTGAATGGGATTCCTTGTGACTCCTCTTCGAATGATAATAGCTTTTTGGAAATTGAATGAGAACACTTGAGGGATGCAAATTGTGTACTCCATATACCACTCAGACTCCATATCTGAGTGGTATTGGCGTGGAACTGATCGTAGAAGGCGTTGTAATCCTGGGGTAAAGGTTCCATGACCACATAGTATTGGTGTTGAACTGAAGGCAATGGCGTTATAATCCTCAGAATATCAAGATCTTGTTAGAATGATGTAATGTTCAGGTCCAACAAAAAAAAAAGTAGTTTAATGATTTGACCAGTCCATTCCTCTGTTTCAAAGTTCTCCAAAGAGATTGAATATTAGATCATCACATATGTAAGTAGATTTGTAACCTAATTCAAAACGTAACTGTACATAAATTGTAACTTTTTAAAGTAATGATATGGAGTTCTTATTTGCAAAACCTGAGCCCTAGTAGAAACTTAAGATGAGAATGACACAATTGAAATATTCAATCTCTCAAGCACTGTATCGGTACTAAAAGATATTAATTCAATTTCAAACAAAAAATAATCACTAAAAACTTGTTATTATCATAAGCATCATTAATTTATTTTTAGAACCTGTATTTTCATAATCATGCAGTATATTTTGCTCATTTATTAATGATTCTTTAAACTACACAGCGAAACTCCATTGAAACTTCTACAGATTCTGTACTAATACATACATGAAATTTGATTTTTTTCTTTATTTATGACTATTAAAATAGATGTATTTTTAATAATTATTTTTTCCTGGATATAAATGTATCATTTATCATTATTAAAATGATTTTTCATGTTTTCTAAGACTAATAAGAAAATACTTTTACGAAGAAACTCTTTTTGCTTTACCTTCTGCGAATTAATTAATAATTTAAGGATTATTAGACGTTGAAACAGAATCTTTTAAAATATATATATATATATATATCTTAGGAATATTGCGAAAATGAAATATTTATTCTCTTTCTAAGAATTTATAATTGAACATTTAACTTTATATTTAATTCACACACTAAATGTATATATAAACACTTATTAGATTTTTTTATCCAACTTTACATGTAGAATTTTTAATGTTTTAATTAAATGTGGGAATAAATATTGATACAAATAAATTTCTTAAAATTTTAATTAGCGTCCCACTAGTATTTTAACTGTGTTTTTTGGTGAAATACCTTATAACTTTGCACTGTGGTCAAATGACAAGGACGATATCTGATCCAGTACTTCCCTCACCTAATTTCCACACCACAATACATGAGAATTTAAAGATCCAACTTCATTTAACGTGAGCAGTTTTCAGGATTCTGTATGATGAATTCTTAGAGGTATCAGGACTCAAACTCATTGTTGACTTTTCGTCTACAGTGGCTGAAATGGAATTGAAATTTTAAACACATTGTATCAAGATAATCTATAAAGTATAGAAAACAGTTTCATTTGTTGACAGGGTAAAAATTAATAAGCATGGATTTCGCAGCGAGCAATGTTCATTCTGGCCCAAAGTTCAAGTCCTGATTCCATCAAAGAAACATCTATGAAATAATGGTGGTTGCTAAATGTTAAATGAAATTAAACTTCAAAGTTCTCTCGTGATATAGGGTGGAAATTAGGTTCAGGTTGTAAGAGGCTCGCGCCTCTCTCACGGTTACCTAGATGTGTGGGAGAGGGGGAGAGGGAAGAAACACTCGACACGATTCAACTATTATGTTTATTTCAACGCTAAGAACAGACACAATTTAATAATCTTAAGAGAATGTCTTAATGAAAACCGTGAAAGTGGAACAACGACAGTAAAACGTAAGCGATTAGGCGACTAACAAACTTGATCCTTATCTTAATTAAGGATATAACCTGTTATCCGATTTAATCTAATCTTAATTCAATCTTAGTGAACAATCGTCACTTTAAGGTTTCCCTCTAATAAGAATCAATTCACTCTAATTCTAATATTATACCTTTAGTAGCAATCTCACCTCTCTGTCTCGAGTATATCTTCTCTCCTACTGGCTAGAAAACCTCGCCTATTTATAGTAAGTTAATTTACATATCACGATTCTCTTCTTCCGAAGGGTTGGTTGTGAATAACGCGAATTGATAGCCCAAAGATTTCCCAAGAGGATTAATTAGAAGATCGCGTATAGATCCATCACATCCTCGCACTTTGACCGTGATTCAGAATTAGGAGCTTCGGAACCGATATTCCTTGTATTGCTTTTTTGTGCAACGTTAATAAATAATCAATCAATAGTGCCTCGACCGTGGTTCAAAATTGCGAGATATGTCATCAATAATTTTCGAATAGTTTCCAGTACGGTGTTAATTAAAAGAAATCAGACTGTTTATTGATGCCTCTAAGACGAATATCTTTTATATAATAGAAAAACTGTGTGAGTGGGTTATTTCATTATTAAATATCAGCCAAAATACATAGTATTTTTCGTCACTAAAGTGCTTATAATCGGGCTGAATAATGATATGTCACATTTTACTGCAATGAAGTCAACAGTGTATAAGGAGGGAGCGTTTATTTACGTCGCATTCTAAAGCAACGAGGCTATTGGAGGTAATTTTGAACCGAATCCTGAACCGGCACCCCGATTTTCTAACTTCCACACCACAGCATCGTAAGGAATTTGAGCCTCCATGTATTAAACGTGCGTCAACCCCTCTAAATGTCGGGTCTTCAGTGGGAACAGGATTTGAACTCGCAACCGTTCCACCGTTAATTCGTTTTCATGACCATTAGACTACCACGGCCACACAGTGCATGGGAAAAATAAATTATATATTAAGTTTATGTGTACCTTATACAGTAGAAAAACTATAGCAGAGAGAGTTCTATTTATTACAAAAATTTATTCATTAAATTTAAGCAAATATTAAAATATATCAAGCAGAAATGCAAGTACGAAATAAAAGTGAAATCGTTATTCCATCTGACATTTTATGGGTAAGGGTTTTTGAGTATCTTATACAAGTAAAACCATATCAGACTACTATTTATCACGATAATTTATTCATTAAATTTAATCGAATACTAAAATATATAAAGCAGAAGTGAAATTCCGAAAAAAATGCGAAATCGATATTCCATTTGAGGACATTTTAATGGAAATTTAAATCAGACACATACACTATGAAAAATGCTAATGTGGTACATATGAAACTTTAAATCCTGATCAAAAAACTTATTTCATCACTTTCCCAGGTACTCCATCTTTTTAACAAGAGCATTCTCTTTTATACTAACAAAAAATGTCTCTGGATATATATTGAAGAAAAGTAATACTTCTTATATTTTTCACTTCCTAACTTAATTTATATGAAAATTTGAAGTATTCTGCTTAGGATGAGACAGTTTTGTACGTATAATGGAATTGAACACTTTTTTTTATCAATTTTAAATTACCTTCTATTTTTAGGTTCTGTCGCGCTCGAGAAATTTGTCAAGTAAATAAAGGGGGCGAACGCCCTCTCCATTGTTCAGCAAAATAACACAAGATCATGCTTTCAAATCTTATCCCTTTGAAATATTTTATTTATCATTTATGAAATTTTAATATACATAAATTGATTTTAATACAGGGAATTTTCAAACTTAGACGCTAAAAAACAACTTTTTAACCGAAAATAATTGAATAGCTCATTTTAAGATGAAAGAAATTTTAAACAAGTCTGTTAGAACTGAAAGCGTTTGATAGGATTTTGAAGCTAGCAGTATCTATACATATTTCAGATGCATAAAAATTGAGATCTTTTACTGAGTGAACAAAAAATAAAAGTCAGCTATAATTCGACTTAAAATGTCCAGACATATTAAGTTTTAGAAAAAAAGGATCTTAAAGATTTCGAATGCAGTGTAAGGAGGAGGGGATAAATTTTTGGACTTGAAAAATAAAACATATATAAAAACAAGTAGCATAAAATTTTTTTTTTTTAAGTCAATTCCTACTTAGGTCAACAAAGAAAAGTTTTATTTTTTAGTTACTTTTTGTTAAATAGTTACAACTAATTTAAATATGCATATATATATATATATATATATATATATATGAAGATACACAAACATATCAAGAATCAGTTGGGGTAAGACCTACGAGCACAACACAACCCGCCTCTCGCATAAGGACTTCAACTTCGACGAACTTACAAAGAACCACGTGACCGAACGACGCACTGGCTCCTGATCGAAGCTGAAAATAGGACTCGTTTTGCCATGGCTTGGAGTACTGACGGCTTTGCTGACTATTGAAATAAAATATAATATGATAAACTGCTGCACTTTGCATTTCTCCTGTCAATCTAAGAATTACTCCAATACATGATATATATATATATATATAAGGATAATTAAATTAGATTAAAAATTAAATTCCCTATCTAGTAATTCACTTTTATATTACCTCCTCACCTCTTCAAGTATCAAACTAATAACCCATTTATTTATTTCGAACATATGGCCTAGCCAATAATTATGTCTATTTCCAGATCGTTATATTTAATAGCCCTATATGTCAGCATTAACTTTCAAGAGTACTCATGAACGCCACGATCGGTGTTTTAAGTGTTTAACCCACTTAAGATTATTCGGTGGTGTTCTTTTTCTCTCTACATTTTTGCGTCAGATGATGTCTAACTTTGATCAAATAAAGACCTTTATATATATTAAAACTAAGTCTGTTTCTGACTCTAAAATCATGTCATATATATATATATATATACACATATGGCAGAATCACAATATTAAGTGACAAAATAGAAAGCGATTTTCCTTGCTATTTTCCATTTTTCTTTCTATATAGGGTATTGGGCTATTTTTGTTTGTTTGTTACTATTTATCCATTAATTAAATTTAATTATTCTAATAAAATAGTATAGTAAAAAAGAGAGCACATTCTGAGAAATTAGGCCATCTCAGGTGGGATCCCCGTTCTTTGGATTAGAAGTCCAACGCGCTATCCATTGCGCTACAGGGACACAACGAAAGATTTTAATTTCTATATATGCTGTTGGACTATTACTTTTGTTTGTCACTATTTATTCATTTTTTAATTTAATTAATGAATTAATGTTTGAAAAAACTGTATTAACATCAAGTGTCATCCACTACAAGTTTAAAAAAATGTATTTGAACTTGAATGGATGGATAGAAAGTATTTTATTAGCGATTGAAAATTTGAACGATATATATATATATATATGAGTGAGTGAGTGAATATTAACGTCGCACTTTTCAGCTACACGAGGGCTTTTGGCGACGGACCACGTAATTTTGAACCATGGTCAAGTGACGTGGACGACACCTGAGCTGGCACCCCCCT